GTCCTATGCTATAAGGAAAGACAGAACCAAACTTTTTGTAATAAACATTGTGCTTCGGAAGAATTCCATAATAAGTAAAAAAGTGGAATAATAAGCCCTTCCTGAACTGGAAAATTTGGTACGAAGTTGATCAAATGGAAGCAAAGCGAAGTTTAAGGAATCGCATTAAGTTTCGGAAACAAGCAAGAATTTAGGTTTTAAAAATTATGTTTATCTATCCTGTGAAGTTTTTTTTGCACAAAACGCAGTGACAAAACATTTTTGTCGCGTTTTGTTTAAACCTCACCGCTGACCTTGCGCATAAGCAAACTTTGCCATACATGTTACCGCGAAGGGAATTAAAGAAGGCCTCCTTGTATTTTAGTCATGTAGAAATATAGTCTTTTTGTAAACAATACGTTGCGCTCAAGCGTTATTTAGAAACAGAAAAAACAGAAGAATAATAAGTATTTCAAAAAATGGTCATATATGTGGCCTGTTTTTGTTAATTCCCAAAATTATGACGGATCGTAGAGTAAATCCTCTGTAGCGGAATATAATCCGATATAAAGAGAAAAGTATGTTCTTTCATTTCCAGTCAAATTGAATCGTTTATCTTCAGGAAAATTAAAGAAATTGTCAAAAGTCTCCGATTTCCCCGTCACATTACCTTGGAAAAAGTTAATACAGCAGTCGCCGGTTATTAAGCCCACCTCGGCCCAGACCAAATTGGGCTTTATAAGCGGCTCGGCCTATTAGCCGTGGGCTTAATAACCGGCGACTACTGTATACACAGAAGTTCGTCAGCTAAGTATCCAATAAAAATACTTTTTAAAGAGGTACCTTATTAGGGAAAGTTTTGTTTATTAATCCTAGGAATAACAATATGCGTGATAAGTGGCAGACATTTTTATGTTCGACAATGTGGTTTGCTGTTAAGAAGCACATATGACCCTAGAACCACATATGACCTTTATGGCCATCTTCATACGAACTAATATGCAATAACTCGTTTTTTCGGTAAATACTGTTTAGTTACATCTTATTTTAAAGGTTTTGATCTAAACGTCGATCAAAAGCGCAATTTATCAACTTATCAATGAAGAAACTGAAAACGAGCAAAATAATGAGAGACTTTATTCCACGATAATCAATAAATAGTTATCTACTAATGGTAATATGTACAAAATATCTTGACTAAAGACAAGACCTTTTTATATAAAGGAAGTGGTTGCTTTAAGTTGTATACTTAACGAAATATTTAAATTTATTGTTTTAATTTATAGCTATTTTTGAGGTCTCCAGAACCTGGGGATTATCGAGAAAATTTTATTTTTCTTACCAAGCACTAAGTACCGCTTATAGTTCTTTTAAGTACGTAATGTCTTATACTGCTCATTTAAGTTTTCGTAAATTCATTCTTGCCGGTATGAGAGAAATAAACAAACTTTTACAAACTTAGGCAAATTGCTTGCAGGACTCGCATTACTGCATTATGCTTGCGGTTGCCTGCAAACCGCACCCTATAAACACTGCGCCACTTGTGTTCGCTATAAGCATTTTCTGCGACCGTCTCCGCTGACGGGTGCGAGTGAAGATCCGGCTGATAACGCCCTGGCTCCAGTGGTCGTGTTGCCTTCTTCGCAAAATAGTCGAATCATTTTTGTTCTGCTTCTTCCCCAACAAATCTTGCCTCTTCCATTTTCTTCTCACCGACAGGCTTTTAGCAACATTTGGCTACAGTGGTTCGCTGATGACAAAAATTTAACAACCGCTGGTAAAATTCTCGTCGATCCAGCGGCCAATCAGAGCGCGCGTTATCAGGCCGCGAAGGACCTTCTCGCTATTTCTCAATTCTATCTCTCCGTCTACAGTTCGCTTGGGCTTGTCTTCATTGCATGCATCTGTGCCTTCTTTCCAGCCATGATTATATCTAGCTTCAGGGCTTCCCGGGTGAGT